TATGCAAGAATTTATGAACCCATATTTATATATTTATAATGATTTTGTAAAGTCACAATTTCAAACACAAGTATATGTATCGCTCAGGTAATACAGGGCTCTAGTGAAGTCTCGTTTATCGATCCCACAGGGAAGCGAGGTAAGAGGTCCTTAGTCAAATTACAGTCTACTAGAATTACTCCTTAGTTTGGAATGTCGATTAAAATGGTGTTTTATCTAGCAACTACTCCTAAATGTGAATGTTAAATGTAAGAATAGTAACTATTTCTAATGTAAATAATAATTCTAAAGATAACCCTTTTTGGATGAATTGGTTTGGAGAATTTTAAGATGTTAAAAACTACTATTCTTATGTAGTGAATTGGATAATGTAAAGGAATGAGATACATTAAATATTATTTGTGTCAAATAGGAGAAATTTTAATTCTCTATAATTCAGTGGTATAGAAAATAATTGGCTAGTCTTAGGTTTAGTCCCTAAATCCATGGCTAGGCTAGGAGGATACTGGCTCCCACTCCAGAGCTCTCACTTCCCTTCCTTGAAGACTAACTCTTGATTTAGTTTTTAAATAGTAAGATCGAATAGGGGATTTTTAGTTTGTCACTCTAGAAATCTCCAATTATATACCTAACAAAATATATTTCCCTATTTATTGGAACTTAATCTCATGAACGAAATACTCCTTCATGGACTTAAATTTGATTCTCACTCTGTTGTAGAACTCATACTTCATTTTCTGGATCATATGTTTCACAACATATTTTAACAATTCAATTGGTCAGATCGAAAAGTAAATTAAGAGCGAAGTTGAAAAATCATCATAATATATAATTAAAACTTCTTCTAACATGCATCCTGATATCCTAAACATGAATCCTACTCATTGTAAAAGAAAAGTAAAAGGAAAATAATGGCATAACTTTCTCATGCCACTTTTTCCAAAAAATAAGAAAGAGTAAACACATCACAAAGCATGAAGAAAACACAACGAAAAACTTCATTAAATCAAAGAAAATCCACTAGATAAGTGTTTACAAAATCATAAGATAATGAAGAACACAATACTTAGCTTTTTTGCCTTGAAAGAAAGATGAAAATCTCTTCCACAAAGTCTCCCGCTAATTCATGCAATACTAGGACATTCCATTACAGATTCTCTCAAAATCCCCTCGCGAATCTCTCCAAATAGGTAGAAATCTAAATTTCTACTCCTATTCTAAGATCTCTAAACATTCTTCATATTTTTTCACTCACACACACCACTTTTTCTGACATAAAAGCACCCTATTATAGGAGGGACGAATTTCCAAAGAGATGCCTCAAGCAACCTTCCAAAAAGCATCTAAATACATTGAATCTTCTAGAAATTTACCCAAGATTGCGTCCAAACCATCTCGGGTGCTGTCGGTGCCATTTTCGGCCCTGTAGGCGTCATTTTCTGCACTCTGGCACTGTCGGCGTCGGTTCTGGCGCCATCGGCGCCCACCCTGCGCAGCCTACCTTATGCAGTTCCACCATTTTGCTTCGTTTAGCTCCGTTTTAGCTCTGTTTCGTCCCGTTTCAGTTGTGTTGCGTTACTAACAGATAGACCTACAAAATAAGCATAAAAACAACCTTCTTATAAAGTTTAATTTCATTCAAAAATATGTGAGAAGTGTAAAAGAGATTAAGCATAGAAAGACATATCGAAATGTGTCAGGACAGAATTTTCTTTCTTGCTAGTTTTTGCTCCAACTTGCACCGTTTTTGCTTCTTTTTATCCAAAAATGGTGTAACAATGTACCTTAAATATGGTATAATGAAATGACCAAATGAAACTATAACAACACCCCAAATATGTTGTAATGATAACTTCTAAAAGAGGGTGTAGCAATACATCCTGAGACGGTGTAATAATGCACCCAATATACGCTGCAACAATACACCCTGATGACAATCTAACAATGCATACCAGATATGATGTACTAAAGCATGTCAAAATGATGTAACAATGTACCTCATTTATGGCCCAACGACATATCTCGATGAAGATATAATAACACACTCCACATATAGTGCAACGATACCTCCTGAAGATTGTGTAAGAATGCACCCCTAAGATAATGATTTTCTCTGAACTTCTAATACTCCTTCCTTGTAGCTCGCGACTCTAGCCTCTACAGCCTACAAACATCATCACAGCTCACCGCTACGACATATGTGACCAACTACAGACTACGTGGTTCAAAACTTCTGTAGCTCTTGAGTCTGACCCCTGCAGCTTAAGGATTTCATTACAACTCATCAACACAGTCTGTGTGAGCAACTATGGCCTATGTGGTTTGCAGTAGTTGCAGCTTCCGACTCTAACCCTAATGGCCTATGAAAGCTCACAGCTCACCTCTACAGCCTATGTGCTAGTACGACTTACGTGGCCCAATGCTCGTACAACTCCTGATTTTAGCCACTGTGGCCTATGAACATCGTCATAACTCACCATTTTGGCCTACGTAACCAAATAAGGCCTATGTGGTCCACATCTCATGCAGCTTCTGACTTCAACATCTGGGGCCTACAAACATCATCACAACTCACCACGGCAACCTACGTAACCAACTACAACCTACGTGGTCAACAACTCATGTAGCTCCCGACTCCAACCTCTACAACCCATAGATATCATCACAACTAACCACTACGGCTTATGAGGCCACCTAAGACATACATGGCTTACCGCTCGTATAGCTCTCCACTCGTGCCTTTGCATCATACAAATATCATCACAGTTCCCTGCTATGGCTTATATGACCAACTATGGCCTACATGACCCAAATCTCAAACAATCCTAGATACTTAGTCTCTACGGTCTATCAATGGTATCGCAACACACTACAACATCCTACGTGACCAACTGTGGCATACATGGCTCACAGCACCTACAGGTTTCTACTATGTATTCGGTGGCCAACTAAGACTCTTGAGGCAACCATCTGTGGCTCACATAGTCAACTACTACGATGGTATTCATCTATGCCTTATAAGACAAGATAGCACCATGACCATCATTTATAACATTCATAGCGGATTGCTGCCTCCATAACAATCAACTACCGCCATTGCAACTTACTATCACTGAGAACTATATTCATTATGGTTAGACTACAGTTATTATTGATGAAATACTATTGCACATTTGTAATGTTTAGCTTTGTAACTCCATCTTCCCTAATTCAGAAGAAAAGTTGACTTGTATACTCACCATTCTTATTGGTATTTCAACTGGACAAGGCTCATGGTTTTTTCCCTTTCCAGGATTATCCAAGTAGAAATTGAGGTGTCATCTTCTGCTTAAAACACTATGAATATCATGTACAACCCCTTTAAAGCAAGATTAAAAATGTAATTTCATCATGTTATACTTTGTCTCCTATAAATAATTAGGTAATTTTATGAATAAGATACCATCTCTCTCTCTTCCCTTAATGCTCTATTACTTAAATGGGATTTATAGTCAAATCAGTAGCAACATAATTTTAAGTAAGTGTAATAAATTCAAAAATGATATTACATTCATCTTTAAAAATATCAAATATTTTTTAGAGAGTGAAAGAAAGAGCATCTTAATAAATATCCACAATTCTTATGTATTTACATATGTAATATTTAAACTTTCATATTTGCAAGCATAACACAATTCTTTAAAATCACATCAAAAAATAACAGTACTATTAACATTTAAAAAATAAAGTACACCTCTTTCATGTATTATCTTGACACCAAAGTGTTATAAATGTAATAATCAAATTTTAGGCTTTACATATGTTAATATTATATATGTAAATTTTTCAAAAAAAAAAAAAAAAAAGAAAAAAAGATATGAATTTCCATAAAAATTGTATAAATAGCTCCTTATAAAAACCTTTTGGCAGTTTAAGAAGGCTTCTAGCTTTTTCTTATTTTTTTGCATTGAAATTATGAAATGAAAAAATAACCCTATGCTAAAGATATAAGAATATATCTTATCATTATTAATGTACTTTTAATGACAAATCTCCATCAAAGACAAAGACTTTTATTATTAAATGTCAATCCACGGTATAGAATTGAACGTAAAATACACATAATATTAAATTAAAAAAAAAGTTCACGCACGACTTCGAAGAATTATGTGGATTTTGCAAGGAATTCACCATGGAACATCATCAACCCATGGGAAAATTATTCAATACAAACGGCGTATGCAGAAATACATGCATCGTAGTATCTTCACCGAGCAAAATTATACTTCGGTGGGCCTAATTTTTTGTTTTTTTAAATAAAAAATTGATATAAATTTTGATCAACGGTAGAGATCGGACGGTGCATACATTTCTACATACGCCATCAATATAGAATAATTTTTCCCATTTTCCCAGGACTCACGCAACAAATCTTAAGAGAGAGAGAGAGAGAGAGAGTTCTCAGCAAAATTGTGTTATACATAAGCTATAACATACTTTAAAGCAAATTTAAATTTTTTGAAAATCAATCAAATTTTAGCCAACAAATTTTGAACAGCTTTTATGGAAGATTTACATACCACTCACATCTTATGTAAATATATATCTAATCCCTAAATTTAAAATTTTACATAAATAACACAATACGTATACATGAAAGAAGTAGAATTTATTTATTTTAAAAGAAAATAATAATATTTTTTGTCATATTCATATGAAAGATTAGGGTGGTATAAATGTATATAACAGACTTGTGCGGTACGCATGTAAATGTTTCAACTTTTATTCATCTTAAGATCACCTCTCTACCCTCTCTCTCTCTCATTAAAAAATTTTGGGAACGAATAATAGTCATCTCCGTATCAAAATTATTCGAGAAACATATGAAAGTCTGTCTATCTCATTCATTTATATGCATATAAGAATTTCAATTAGCCATAATCTTCACAAGGAAGTCACTTTTCGGTTCATTACCAAGGGAAGCAAAGCCAAATAAAGCTTGGGCTAGCTCGAGCCCGGGCTTCTTAAAACTCCGCCCGTACATACAACTGGCACCAATCAACCCCATCCAAACCCAAATATTTATTATAAACAAATCAATACTTCATTTCCTTTCAAATGTGTGACTAAACATAAACAAGTTTGACCCTAATTAACACCTACAGAGCATATCTAGAAAATAATATGAACAGGACAGGAATTTGCAGAAAATTGGTACAAGAGTGAAAGGAAAGGGTTGGTGGGCACCTGAAATTTTCCTTTTTTATTATTTTTTTCTGAAAAAAGAAAAAAAAAAACAAGGTGCCAGAAATGGTGATCACTTCCTCATCAGAAGTCTGAAAAAACTATACAAAAAAACTAGCAGAAATGGTGAAAGAAACACAGTATGTTACGCTGGTGGGGGCATAGGGAGAATAGTGTTGGCAAGCTCCTCGTTCAATCTAACAGGAAGTGGAGGCATTTGGCTCATTATGCCAGGCACATCATCCAATCTGCAGTTTAAGCAAAGAAAATAATCATTAATCATGTGTTGATTCAGTTTTAATATGTCATAATAACAAAAATGTAAAAAATTTTGGGGGATTTGTACACATTATGCCAGACAATTCTTATGAGTTTACATATCTAACCCTGAAATCTTTAATGTAATGTCAAAAATAACATTATTATTAACTTTTTTTTTTGGAAGTGAAATACACATTTTCAGACATAAATAAAGTTCTACAAATACAAGATAAAAAATTGTGTTTGATATTGCAAAAACACTCAAATTTTTAACATCACAATAGAAATATCATTGATACTAACTTTCCAATAGTGACAAATAAGTTCTCATGTATATGTTTTAAGGTGATGATGCACTAAGGTGAAGATTAGGACCAATATGTTGAGGCTCAGAGTGGGTTCCTATAAGAATCATAAAGCCATAGGGAAACCCTCTTTGACTTAGAAGTTTCACACATACCCATCATACACATACACACATTATATCACTACATATCACTCACTATACACGACATTCACTTCATCACACTCACCTCACTTACACATCACACTCAATACATTTACACTCAAGTCCACCCAAATCCACTGAATCCACTCAAGTCCACCCAAATCTACTCAATCCACCCAAATTCACCACAAACTACCAAATCCCACCCAAACTCACCCAAATCAACCCGAATCCATCCAAATCCACCCTAATCCACCAAAGTCACTTCAATTCCACCCTAAATCCAAAATCCACCAAATTTAAATACCACATGCAAAACCCAAACCCACCAAGCCTAAGTCCAAAATTCCATTATGATAAGTTCAAAACTTCACTAAACCCATCATGAGCAATTTCAATACCATCAAACCCAAATCCAGAATCCAGCATTCAAACGAATAATTAAAACAAATGGCACAGATCGGTTCGAACAGAGAATCGAAGCGACCCAAGGCCACGTACCGCGGGAGTACATGGAGGAGCGCAGCGAACCAGGGAGCGCCGTGCGGTAGTTCAGAGACGCAAGGATGATAGGGCGGACACGTGGTTAAGTAAGAAAAGTGAGATATTTAGAATTAAAGAAATACAAAAAATCAAATATGACTTTAAGAAATCATATCTTGGTGTAGAAAAATCATAAAATAAAAAAATACATCTATGCTTAGTGAACAAATGATAATTTAACGAACCTAAAACCAAAAATAATTATCTTAATAAAATAAAAAAAATCATATCTTAGTGAACAAAAATTTAACGAACCTAAAACCAAAAATAATTATCTTATATTTAATTTTAAATTAATTAAACACTCATAACTCATTTTAATTATAAAAACCCTAAAAAACCTAATTTTATATGATAATTATCTCTCTTTGATTAAATTAATTATAAAAAGAAAAATAAAAATCATAAAAATTTGAAATGAAGTTTGATGTGCTGAACAAAGTCAGAGGGATCAAAGAAAAATAAATATAAAACATCAAATTTTAAAATATATTTTTCATGTATTTTCCTATTAAAAATAATTAAAAATTATAAAAATTAAAATATAAATCAAAATAATGTGAAATTTGCCCTAATTGGTCCTCCGAACTTTAGTAATATCATAAAATTTTTCAAGGATAGAGAACATACATTTGGAAATTAAATTAATTTTTACTATAAATTTATAATTTTTAATTTAAATAATTACAAAAAATAAATAAATGTTTGACAAAATATAAATTCACATCTGATATCTTGATCAGCCCACGAGCAAGTGGTCAGTGAAGCCTCATGATAATTGAAGTAAGAATGTGAGAATTATGGGGTGTTAACCTTATGAGCATAGCTGTAAATGTAAAATTTACAGTCTTAAGCTTTCATTAAATGACTTCTAAGGAAAAAAAAATGAAGGGAAAAAGGTAAATTCGTGATGATAAACTCACTTAAGTATTTGAAACATCAAAAGGGTAATTAGGGTAGTAATGCAAAAAAAGTAAAAAAAAAACAAGAAAAATGTAAATATTTGAATGGTTGGATACAATGGAAGATGTGAAGGTTTGATGATAAAGTGATAAGAGGTATGGATTAGAAGCTTCTCAATTCACTAAGGGTCTGTTTGGGGCAGCTGCAGCTTATCCAGCTTCTGCTGATAAGCAGCTTATCCTGATAATCTGTTGATGAGCAGCTGATCCGGATAAGCTGTCTGGCTGTTTGGTTGGCGCTTATGGAAAACAACTGATTGTGAAAAATTGACCATTTTGCCCCTGTTCTGAATAAGCAGTTTAGCTGTTTGGTTAGTGCGTTTTGTAAATGCTTCCATACTGATGAGATTCCTACCCAGTAAATTATATTGATCTCACTCCCCTTACACCGGTAGCATCTCTTCTCATACAATTCGAAACAGAAACCTGAGCTGAAGGTACTACAGTTCACCAATTCAAACGTAAGGGAATTTTGCTTTATTTGGCCAAAAAGTAAGAGCGTAAATCAATTCTGTAAGGATTTCCTTAAATGCTGACAATTTGAGTGAAACGAAAAGCAAAATGGATGCCGAATCTTAAATCTTAATCAATCCACAGATCATTTGAATTTTCATTTCACTTCCCTCATTTTCCTTCAACCCAAACAAACCTAAATTGAAGTAATAATCTCTTACGTAATCATGGGGCTTATATAAAAGGAGACCTAACCTGTTGTCTAGAGCTGTAGTCAACTCTGATGGAGGCTATGGAAGAGAGCAACTCCGGAAGCGGAAGCAACTTCGCGACCTCACGAACGGCTGCATCCTTAGCTTCTATTCCTAGATCCTCCATGGTCTCCTGCTCCGTAAATCTGGCCCTCTTGTCCTCGATGCAGAGCTCCAAGAAGAGAGCAAATGAAAGAAAATTATTGGTCTAGTTGAATCCCTCGTCACCCTCCTGCCTCCGTCGCAGAGAAGGAATCGCAGTCGTGCGATCACGAACGAAGCAGGGAGCGGGGGGGTTTGCGAGCTCGATCGCGAACAAAGCAGGGAGCGAGATTGCGAGCTCGATCGCGAATGAAGGAGGAAGAAATGCCGAATCCGAGAGGCGCAAGAGCAGGGTTCGATCGCGAGGGTAGCGGAGTAATTCAAGAGAAAACGCGACGAGGCAACGCGGACCGCCCACATGATCCCGCGGGCAGCGTCATGCCTAAAATAAAATTCGCGATTTCTAGCACGCAGCATAAACGTGTTATTGCTGCCCCAAACGGGGCCTAATTTAAATGCCAATCTTTGATCGAAGAAAATTTCACAATCCTTTGGTCACGATTAAGTATTTTTACACAACAAATTTTTTTTTTTTAAAGTACAAGTTTGCCCCTAAAGCCTCAAGAGCTTTACAGTGAGCTAGGCTCACTAAGGAGCAATTCAAGAAAAATATAAGTGATAAATAAAACACAATGCAACATTCAAGTCTAGCCTAACGGTAAACTTGCAAAACTCCCACATACTTGTAAACATACCCTTATGGGCCCCACCTGTATACACTTACTACAAAATTGGTAATTAATTCATACCTTCACTCATGGGCTTAATAAGGACATAAACAAGAATACATAGAGCACAAGTTGGAATATGAATACCCCTTTTAACATTTCTTAATCCACATGGATTGATAAGCTGAACAGTGTAGGAAGATAAAATGAACTTGAAATGACCCAAGGTATTTTACAATTGTTTAGAATCATGTTCTGGACATCTTTACAAGATCTTGAACATTTCATGGGACATTTGAGCTTATTATAATTTGTTGAGGAAAATCATCCTAAAAAATGTAACAGTCACCAAAATCAAATGAAATACACAAGAACCCGCTAAAAATTTAATCCACTACTCACCAAATTAAGATATATTCACGAGAATCATCCCGCTACAACTTAGGGTGCATTTGGGGCAGCTTTTATTTATCCTGAAATGCGACCCGCAGGTTTTAACCTGCGATCTGCGTTTGGTGTAAAAACTCAATCGTGTTTTCGGATAAGCTGTCGAAACGTGTTTTCCAAACGGTGAGACGACGTTTTCAAAACGCCGTCCGCACTTATAAGCTGCCCCAAATGAACCCTTAACCTACAGTAATATCCAATGCTTAGGTGTATGAGTTTTGGACATTGTGCTCAAACCCTTTTGCTAATTAGGGACATTTAAAATATGGCTACATATGAAGCATCGAGCTAGTTTGTAAGTTGGAGGTGTTGGTGGTACGGGCGTTGACGTGAAAGGCTTCTGATGCTAGGAATGAGATAAAGGCTTATAATGCTAGGAATGAGATAATGGGATTGTATTGTTTCACCCAAACCCGATGACTTCATGAGGGTACGAAATTAGCAATACTACCCTTCAATATTCGGCAAAAACTTGCCCTTACTTTCTTGATCTGCTGATGGCTCTGTCCAAATAATGTAACTAACTCATGAAATGCCTAATTTACAAAATATATCTAAAAAATATATATATCTTTTGGTGAAACTGATAGTTTGCTTGCTAAATGAAAAGTCTAAATTACTTACATGACAATGTGGTGGCCAAGGCTCAACATGAAGCGAAGAAAGAACTTCAACTGAACTTTCCTTAGTCATAAATAACATAACCCCATAGGATTTCGAGGTTGTTTGTCCAGCACAACGAAAATCCTCACATTATATTTAAGTTTTTGCATGATTGTATGTTGTGCGACATACATAATAACTCTTTTTAGGATTATAAGATTTTTAGCACCATCTTCCTAGGCTATTTGCATGATAGTATATTGTGCAAGTATAAGCCTAAATTTTAATTAAGTGGTAGGAGAAAACACTCAAATAAGATCATTTTCAAAATGTAAGAAGTCTTCCTCAGAGTCTGTGACATCTCATACCTTTCGCTCATTTGGTCTCCAAAATAACTTTTTCACATTGAGTCATTCTCACTTGATTTTCTTACAACCAATCATGAAAAATCAGCTTTGAATTGCTGAAAACGAAACCTCAAATCTTAATCGAGAATTTTCTTAAGTGACTTTTGTTACTTAAGATGTAATTAACTATTGGGGATTGCCCCTATAGAAAATTAGAAACCTAGATAATATAAACTCTATCTAATATTTATATTAGAAAGGGAATCATCAAATTTAGCAAACCAAATAAGAGACATAAATTTCTTAGTTTAAATGATTCAGCCTCCTAACAAGTGATATGTTTATTTCTCGAGGCGGTGTATTACTTGTGGTTTTTTACTCAACTATCTAAACTATTAAATATATGAGATTCATCTGGTCTCATATTTTTTTAAATCAAAATACTATTTTTCAAAATAAAATATATAACTAACTTAATATATATATATATGCAACCGACAAATTCCAAAAAATCGACCGACAATATGTATATAAATTCTCCAAAAATTTACAGGATAAACTTATAGTAAACAGCACGGTATAAATGATGAAAATCAGAAGATTAAAAATATGAAGATGTTCACAGAATCTCATGAATGTGCTTAATAACACTAAATAAAAGCTATTTAACTCCTTTATAAAGTCTAAGCGTTCAGTATCAATCCATGAGGTAATGAACGATGACTGAATGCTTCTACTGAAAGGTGATTTCCTTTTTGATGAAATCTACATGTCATTTATCTCATAGGAAGACTTGCATACATACCACTCACAATGTATTTACATATCGAACACCTAAACTTTGTTTTTTTTACATTTATACCATCTAAATATTTCATATCACATAAAAAAATATCACTATTTTAACTTTAAAAGGGTGAAATACACGTTTTTATGCATGGGTAAGGTGGCATATTTGTAAAAATTGAAGTTTTGATGTTAGAGATGTGAATACATAAGAATTGAGTGGTATGTATTTAAATCTTCCCTTATATTAACTACAATGAAATAAAAACAATATACAAATATATTTTAAGAAAGTTGAAACGAAATGATTAATAGCCAAGTCAGATACAAAAAACTATAAGAAAAGCGTTGGCTATCTAGTGCTATTGCCCCTTACCTCCGGAAAAGGGTTCTGGGGTTATATTCCGCTTTAAAATAATACTAATAGAAAAAAGAACAAAAAAAGAAAACTAAAGGGAAAAGTAGTGAATTGCAACGGTACTCATAAGCAAAGAATAACGACACTGAGAATTCTTAAAATCTGCAAATATGATCAAAACCTCTGTCAAGCCGTCTCACTTGATGCAAACAATATTTTATTTTTGGGGCATTTACATACATACCACATAATTATTACGTATTCACATATCTAACACCTAAACCCATATTTACAAAGATAACACCAATCATTACGAAAAATACCACTGCTACTAAATTTTTAAAAGAAGTATATCTTTTCATGCAAAGATTCATGACATCAAAGTGTTATAAATGTAAATATTAAACTTTAGGTGCTAGATATATAAAATCAAAAGAATTGTATGGTATGTATGCAAATTTTCCTTTATTTTTTAATTTTTGATACTATGTTAAATTAAATAGAAGCGCCATACAATGCTCCAATACAGAAATCAAAATTAGACAAGTACAATGCTCCAATACAGAAATCAAAATTAGACAAGCACTATCCTAAAGTGTGGCAGTTTTAGAAAGAGGTAACTTTGGTGCAGCAATCCTTCTATCATGTTTAAAATATAGGTAGAAAATTCAGAAGTAAGCCCGCAACAGAATAAAGATATAAATCTTCCAAATAAATAAGAATTTACGACGAGGACCATAGCTAATCAAAGCAAGAAACATACTCATTCATGATTTTCAGGATATTATCACGCGCTTGGCAGAACAAAGTAAGGTTATCATTTATCTGCAAAGAAATCATACATTGGTTAAGAATGGCTAAAATTTATAATAATCTCTGAAACTGCAATCTGTAAACAGATCGTTTCTGAACTTGCAACCATAGTATTTCCACTGTAGATTATTTAGTTCAAACAAACAGAAGTTCCGAGTAGTTTGCTTTTCAGCACACAGCTGTGGCACTTACCAATTCCTACATATTTACATATATAGCACCCAAACTTTGCTGTTTACATTTATATCATCCAAATATTCAAATCACATAAAAAATACCACAATTTTAGGTTTTAAAAAGTGTCCTTTTCATGCATAGCCAAGGTGGTATGTATGTAAAAATTTAAGTTTAAATAGGAAATGAGTGCAATGACTGCACATCATCCAATTTTAAATGATGCAGCCTGCTTTATGTACCTGAAAATGATTGAAGTTCCCAGAGATTTGGCTGAAGATCTGTGCAGTCTGATCAAGGAGCTGTCCTGTTGGGCCTCCAATTGCTGCACAAACAGGGTAAAAACATTAATAAACTATTTCACACAAATTTTAGGAGGGAAAAATTGAATCCTTAACACTAAATGTCATCATTGTGTAAAAAAAACAAACCTTTGCATGAAATTTCATCATCATTCTCCATGGACATCATCGGCATAGCATAAGGAGGGATATTAGGCCGAGCCACTAGGTTAGGTGAAGGTTTGGCTGTTGAATCAGTAGCCCTCTCCTGAAAATAAAATTGCAGAATTCTCAAAATTTAAAGCAACAAATTAGGCCAATGAACTTTGCGTTAACATATGGAATGGAATTTATAAATGACATTCAAGTTAATCCAAGCTAAAGCTTTGTCATGGCTATGTTTGGATAACACTGCCAGTGGCCGGAACCTAACAGTTATCTTGATGAACATTCTGATATTTTCAAGGGTTTGAGAACAATAATAGTCACCAAAATCGAGAAATTATAAAAAGGGGCATTTACATACACACTGCCCAATTCCTATGTATTTAACTCCCACAAATCTAACACCTAATTACAAATCTAACACCTAAACTTTACTTTTTACATTTATATCGCCCCAATCATTCATATCATATCAAAAATACCACAATTTTAGCTTTTAAAAAGTTAAATGCATAGGAAAGGTGGTATGTATGTACATATCGAAGTACTGGAGTTAAGATATGTAAATACATAAGAATTGAGTGGTATGTATGTCAATCTTGCTTCTAGAAATCTTATAGAAGGCTAAGGCTAAGCTAAGTGAAATTAAGGGAACAGAGCAAAAATCTGGAGCTCTACGGTATAAAAGGTAGAAGGGACAAACGCAGAAATACTCTATCAATGGAACATCTTTTTCCTGAATGAATTGATTAAAACATATCATTCAAATAGACGCAATTTAATTTGTTTAAAATTTGGTATAATTTTCAAGATGAAATTATGCAATTACAAAACTCTTATTTAGGCAAATAATCCATGGTCTACCAAAAATTCGTTGTAAAGTCAATAACTGACTTTACCGTTTGAATTTTCAGAATTTTCGCGAGGATTATAACAAATAAATTAAAGAAAACAGAAGTCAATATAAAGGTCTCATCAGCTATTCATGCATATGTAAACATCAAAAAATGAAAGAAATTGAGCGAATTCACACCTTTTTATCTTTGGTTTTCCGTGATAGGCTATCATCTTTTCTTCTTTTCCCACTTTCTTTTTTCTGCAAGAGAAAGAAATTAGTTAAAATCCATTTTTATAAGACTCATAAAGTTGCTGAGAACTTTCCTATTATTTTCCCTCCAATCTGTGTTGCATTTCCCCTGGAGCTTGTTTAACAATTCACAAAATACAGTAGCATGCATTAACTCCAGGTAAATTCAGCATACAATAGCACACTCAATTTCACTCAATAAACTTAAAGGGGCATTTACATGCATGCTACACAATTCTTATATATTTACATATCTAACAACAAAACATTCATATTTACATACAGAACACTCAAATATTTGACAACACGTCAAAAATACCACTATAACTAACTTTTTAAAAGTGAAATACACCTATTCATGAATAGATTTTTAATACAAAAGTATTATAAATGTAAATATTAAATGTTAGGAGATAGATATGTAAATACATAAGAACTGTGTTGTATGTACGTAAATTTCCCTAAACTTAATTGTTTCTCCCATCTTGTACATATTAAATGCGTCAACACAAATCACGAAGGCATCTCACGGATAGCAGAAATGATGTGACCCAACGGGGCCTACCTAAGATGGCCCAAAACCATACAATCGGCCAGCAGCCCATGTGCATCGGAGCAATGTGGTGCCTTAGGCGGGTAAAAGGGATACTGCCCCTGAAGAATCTATCATATCAGAGGCATTGGGACGTGCCTGTCACCTCCAAACTCGGACAAATTGAGGAAGTAAAAAGATCCCCAATTTCAAGGCGGTCGATATGGAACTTCAACAAGTAGCTACCTGACTTGAAGGCCGCTCGGACCAACAACCGTCCAACCTCATGGCCGTCCGAACCAGCGGCCGTCGGGTCTCGGTGGATCGGCCCATAGAGATGCCCGACCTAACGATTGCCAACCCCGTAGCCTTCTGGCTTAATGGTCGTCAGGATTAACAGCCGCCAAGCCACATCTATGGGCCCCATGAGCCGAATTTATGTACGGTCTGAAATACCCTCGCTATACCGACATATTATATGAGTACAATATATAAATGCACAATGACTCGTTCCTATAAGTAGGAGGTCAATATCGTGAATAAAGGTACACAGATTTAATGTTCATTACAGTGTTCTCTCTCTCTCTTACCTTTCAGCGCTCTATTCCTTAGGCAGGCCACCTGGACAGATTTTGATTCAACATTCTAAAAGGTGTGGTGAGCAAGGAGCATGCCGTCAATCAAGACCAGGAGCACAAAGATCGCAAAGAGAATGGAGTAATCAAAGAGTAACAACCAATGTGGATCCCCATGAGATGACATCGAGGAATGTGTGCAAAGAGAAATGCACTAAGATTATAGAGCAGGTGTCGGGCCAGATCGACGAAGTCTTGAGGGCCTTCATAGCCATGACAAGAAATTGGGCCCCACAAGAGCATAACCAGTCATAGGAGGTGGCACTAGTGCACCACGGTAGGAGGGCAAAACACGGTCTTAAGGGGGCCGACAACTCACAATATCAAGACAGTGTTGGATCAGCACTGATGGAAAGTCAACACATAGGGCGTACTGAGGTGCCACATCAGCCGCAGAAAGTTTTCACCCTCTAAATCTTTGGAGCGGAACCCTCAGAAAAAATCAAATTGCTGCCCTTTAAAGCCTACAAAGGACGATCAGATCCCAACAACCATGTGGCCGCATTTTAGTCGACTGTGTGCTTGCTCAAAATCTAAGACGCGTTCGTGTCGTCTATTTTGCACCACTTTGAGGTCAGGTTCCATGCGTTTCCGGCCGGGAGCATCACCAACTTTGCTGATTTCAAGAGATTGTTTCTAGCACAGTTCTTCAGCACAGGCAACCCCTTGTGAGCGATGATTGTCTGTAAGGTCAGGTCGCCAGCACCAACACCGACCAATGATTGTCCAACATAACGATCCTCATCTATGAGAGGGAAAAAACTATCAGCGAGCATCAAACTGTATGAAAAAAAAGGGAGGGGGGAAGAAAGTGATTTACCCAAGGGCAAATCGCCTGCCAACCCCATCTTGCCAGACGGAGGATCGTCTTCACCAGCTCGCAAAACGTCAACTAGAAGGAGAATATTTGTAACAATCGGTCGTGTTTGAACCTCAACAGAAGCTCATATCGACCGGTCGAACGCTAAAACCCCCTGTTATTCACAAGCCTAGATTAAAGCCCTTCCCAATACATCATGAACCGAATCTAATGACTCTTTCGCCCTAGCCTCCTCAATCAATTTTGATCTCTTAGTCAGCCTCTTCCTCGACGACTCACCCTCGGGTTGCCATGATCTAATCCCAAGCACAGCTAGCATTCTAGCCTTATCGACGGGTTTTAGCATGGGGTTGAATCCTTTCTTCATAGAGAAACTGAGAACAACAAACAAATGCCCAGAAAGAAAAAACAAACTCGAGATGATAAAGACACCCTCACAGAGCCTTATATATGATGATCGTGGGCATGACAATCTAGGGAGTTTATTATAGAATCAAATAAATATTGTTATAAGATTCATTTATATTAAAATTTCATTGTCTTTGTCGCAATTGTCGCTATCAAGAAGCAGGAAAATTGGGAAACTTTAATATGTATATTAAATGCGTTAACATGAATCACAAACGCATCCTCACGGATAATAGAAGAAGTGATATGACCTAACAAGGCCTACCAAGGCTGCCTCGAGACAACACAAACAGTTGGTAGCCCACGCGTACTGGAGGGACGGGTGCCTCAGGAGAGTAAAAGGCATACCACCCCTGAAGAATCCATCAGATCAGATCCACTAGGATGTACGTGTTGCCTACGAACTCGGACAAACCGAGGAAGTAAAACGGATCCCCAGTTTCAAGGCGATTGATATGGAGCTTTAGTAAGTAGCCACGATCTTAACAGTCCCAACTTGATGGCCACCTGAGCCAACGACCGCCCGGTCTCATGGTGGATCAACCCATAGAACCGCCCGACCTAACCACTGCTGACCACGCAACACTGACTTAATTGTCGCCGGGTCTAACAATCGCCCGACCACATCAATGAGCCCCACGAGCCAATTTATGTACGAACTGAAATACCTCTGTCATACCTATGTATTATAGGGGTACATTATGCAATCGTACGATGACTCGTTTCAATAAATAGGGGGTTCATATCAAAAACAAGGTTACACAATTTTCTATTCATTACTGTGCTCTCTCTCTCTCTCTCCCACCTTTCAGCACTCTATTCCTTAGGCAGGCCCCCGAATATTCAGGATTCAACACATCTAAACCCTTTTTGTATAGAGAAAATCATCAAATAGTAAACATCATGTTAGAAATGAATGAAGACCAAAAAATTCTTTATCATTTCAATTCCTGAATGAATTACATTTTGATGATACTAACTTGAATTAATGGAGTAAAGATAGTTTTAAGAGAGCAGCAATGGTATAACTATAAAAGCTGATAAATGATAAGAAAAACCTTGACAAATATGCTCGCTACTTACAGTCATCCATCTACTTCGCAAAGCGACATCTCGAACGGTTTTCTCTGGAAGGAGCTTAGCAACTTTTGCGTAACGTACTACTGGTGGGTCAGAAGCATATCTACAAGATTACAATCACCATGTCATATTTACTAATGAACACAAGTAGAAGGCTAATAGAAGGATAAATAATAAAATTGCAGTAAATAATGTATCTTGGTAGTGGATGGTAAAATGTAAGAAAAAAGGTTATAAAAACTGAACAGTGATGCCAGAAGTTTTGGGGTTTAGAGTTGCTATGCTTTTTTGAATGTAATAATATGATGAGTTTAAAAAGATGCAATGTTAGCATGCAATTTTCATAAGAAAGCAAGCCATCTAACACCAATTGTTTTCTAGTTGTGTTGAATAAAAGGAAAATTGATGGCCCAAATTTCAAAGTAAAAGTTTTAATCTCCTAATAGAAATTAACAAGAAGAAATAGAGATAATAAATAAAACAAAATTGATTGTACACATAAAGCAAATACATAAAGAAATTTGAATAACTAATCTTGTTTTCAAGACATACAAATAAATAAAAAAAAAGAAAGACAAGAAAAAAATGAAAAAGAGAGAAACTGGCCAAGTAAACATTACGCTTTAATAAGAAGATTTCACTGCAAAAAAGACTTCAAATGTCATGGATGATTACGTTTTATCATCCAAAAGTAGACAAAGAACCTCCGCACATTCAAAACAAAATTTATTCATGTTGTGAATTATTTGACATACATCAAAAAACACCTATTTAAAAAATTTATAGCATAGAAGTCTTCGATATAAGATGAAAAGGCTTGACAGAGTGCTATAACAGAATTCCTCCAGGGAAGCTTGCAGAAGTTAGAACGGGAATAAATCCTATTAAACTCATCTGTAGAATAAGAACTGTCACAGATGATCCCATGAAGCCAAATATGGAAAGCAGAAAAACAAGAGAAATATTGATCCCATGTACATTGGAGTCAACTATAGATCCTATGATTTGAAGGGAAACTCAACCAAGCCAATCATAGGTGCCATGAACGAACCAATAAAGTCAGTTGTGAATCAGCAAAGCTGGTGAATTCCCCTGATTATGTTGTAGCAATTAGAGGTGAAAACGAGTCGGGCTTGAGCGAGACCAGTGTTTGTTCATATTTATCTCGTTTGAAATTTATTTTGCTTGATACAAGCTTGTATTTAAAATGACTCGTGAATTTGTGTTAAACTCAATTCAAATTGTTTGTTCCTTTAGTTCGTGTTCAACTTAAAATTAGCTCGAATTATTTAAACAATAATAAAAAAGAAAATTTTTTAAAATACGACATAAAAAATTAATGTAAAAATATTATAATATTGTTATTTATTTAATTATTTAATAAGTTTGAGCCAAAGATGATCGAATAAAAGTATTTATATGTTTGGATCATATATAAATCAAGCTCCAAAAAATTTAATGTATTTGACTTGCTTTCTTAACGAACGAATCAAACACAAATTACTTACCAAGCTGAACATAAGTTGTTCATGAACAACGAGCTTTTTTGATAGTCCTAGTAGGAATAGTAAGACAAGGAAGCCCCATGAAATAAATCCATCCATACAACATCAACAGTGAAAGCCGAGTGAAGTGAATAAGGTCAAATAAAATAGAAACAATACCAATGAAATCTACACTTATCATGTGTATAGAAATATAAATATATACTCTACTGACCAGTCTAACTTGATTAAAAATCAAAATGTAAAGGAAAAGTAAAATAAGTATCCAGCGATGAGTCTAAACACCAAAGGATGCAAAAAATGAAAAAAAATAAAATAATAATAGTAATAATAATTGAATTTAGGTTTCTGCCTATTTTCTCATCATTCATTGCTATGAAAAAAAAAGTTATTCTGTCAAATGGCTTACTTCCCAGCTAAAAATGCGAGTGGAAATCGTACCTCACTCTATACAGCATAGCACTAAATATTGATTTGTGGATTATAAATTATAAACCTTTAGAACATCCAGTATCATATTGGTGTCTGAGTTTATTATCCCTAAGTTCACAATTTGGATCAAATAAAGGGTTGCAAAAACAGCAGCAATAATTTCAATGCATTTTTAATAAAACTAATTTGAGTATGTTTCTAGACTATTTCAACAAAATCATTATGGTTTATGGAAAATACCCTACCATTAGATGCAAAACGATCTTAAAATATTTTTAAATTAAGTAAAAGTGTTGGAGGAGTTAATCAATAAGAACAATAGATCTATTGTTCAAAGAATAAAATTGTTAAAAATTGTAAGATCCTCTCAATCTTTTTTGCATAGATTTACTAATAAACTTTTACATGGGCTGATATGAAACATTGAGTGAAAGAATGATATTTATGCTCGTCACATTTCAAAGATCAACAGCAAGATGAGCTTAATAGCCAGAAAGGACTTCTTTAAAATGACTAGAAGAGTACACTTTCCATGAGATTGTCTAGAAACTAATTATTATTCATTTTTGGTCTTAGACAATACTTCATATATCTATTATCCTACATTTATATTAAACCAATAGATGAGCATATATAAAGCCTTAGAACTGCTGCCCTATTTTAAAAAAAAATGGGTATTTAACATTCCTCTTTTGTGAATAAAAATTTAAAGGATGATTCTAAGTTTAGCTAACATAAAATCTTAATCTAATTTTAAAATTGCATATGGGTGTTAATCTAAATTTGAAAAAGATTCAAAAACTAATGCCAAAAGCCTGAAACTAAACTTTAATCGGACATTGGATCAAAATCCAAAACAATATTATAACTTGAAAAAATCAACAACATTAAATCAAAATAAATCGTACATTTCAAATTCATTTTAAACCCAAATGATCATACAATGTAACTAATAAGTAATGAACCTTAGGTTGATCAGTTAAGCCAACATTCATTATATCCTTGGTTTTTTATTTCTCGAACTTTAATATATAAAAAAAAATTGTAAAATATTCTTACTTGCATAAGACTATCCATAGGCTTCTTCGTGATGAAGTTCTCAAGAAAAAACTTAAATTTTAAAAGTCGAATGTTATTTAAATACAAAATTACATGTATTCATGATCTTTTATCTGTAATCTTCATACTCTTCTTTAAAAAGCTTGTTCATCCACATGATGAGCATGCTGTATTAGACTCAAACTTCTATATGAGATTTATTAGTTATTGTTGAATCCAAATTTGTCTTTAAATCACACCTCAAGAGATTAGAGCATTAGAAAGAAGAGAGAGAAATATAGAGAGAGGAGGTAGGCACAACAACTTGCCCCTCCAAGGCTAATTGGAGTATTTCCAGGCTATTGTGATCTTTTTTATATAATCGAACATTTTATTATACATGGGGGAAGGGAGAGAGCCCAACGTAAAAGAGAAGAGCCCCTCTTACATTGAAAGATCCCCTATTTATAAGGGATCAAGTATAATATGAAGATATTGCATTTACAGATTATTTCAGGTATTTTACATGTATAAGCCTTCAACTCAGCTATATGGAGTCATCTAGGATTCGGGTCGTTCAGGCTTCGAGTCTTCCTAGCATCGGGTTATCCAAGCTTTGGGTCGTCCTGGACTCGGGTCTCTTCCTGGCCTTGGGATGTCCTGGTATCAAGTCATCCTGGCCTCGGGTAGTCCAAGCTTTCCAGGATTCGGGTCTTCCTGGCTTCAAGTCATTCTGGCCTCGGATCATCCTACTAAGTGTTTTTATATACATATTTTAATTCCTCGATTATGTTACTACTTAAAGGTAAATTTGCAATAAGAATGAGAGAAATCTAATGCAAAAAAAGTTATTATACCTACTCTTAATCGACAGTTGAAAAATTAAACTTCATTTTTTTTATGACTCGATAGGACTGGCTTGGTCAGCTAGGGTTTCCTACCCTCTAGCTTGGTCAACATTTTTCAGTCAGCTGATTTGGCCTGGCTATTAGCCTTATTTGTAACTTACAGAAATTTTCCTTTCTCTCTGAACATTGGTGAATAAACGTATAAGAAATTCTGTAAATTTTTCGACCATAAAATAAGTTCTCGATCAGTATTTGCCTTTGTTTTTGTATTTACCTCTTACCGGGTGTTTTATTTTTTTGTAACAAGCTCTTGACTTATGATTATTGGTGGGTCGGTTGTTGGTATTAAATGATGATCGGACATCCTAGATCATTGTCGGTTATTTTAGCATTTTCTATTGATCTGACAGCTTGTGTCTTCGATTTTTGAGGTATTGATGTCCGACTCGGATCTTACACTTCTCGAGTCCTAGCTGCTTGGTTAGATCTCCACCTCAGACAAAATTAAAATAGAGTTAGCTCATTAAGTAGATATTGTTGTTGCTTTCGCAGAGGTGACTAATGGGACTCGCTTCTAAGGTGATTTGTTCGGTACGCTTCGCATGGCTTGTTGCTACAGGGTAGGAAACAACCTCCAGAACCTTATCTGATTCAAGTTTGGAGACATATCTTTATGTTGCGTGAGCATTGCAGGCTAGTATTTTGGTCTTTTCTGCTAATCAGATGTCTTGGCGTCAATGTAGATCTTACTGCTCAGGTTCAAATTCCCCGAGTATTGGCTAGACATCAAAGCATATAAACTCCTCAAGTTCCCCAAGTGTTGGTCGGATTTTGATCATCTATTTCATAGAACTTCCTAAGTTCCCCAAGTGTCCGTCGAACTTTTATTGTTATGGATCATCCAGGCTATGGGTCGTCCAGGCTGCTTGTCATCCGGACTACGGATCATCCAGACAGCTTCGATTGAGACCTGACAAGACAAAACTTAATCATTGGCTCCTCACCTTGTGCTGCTCCCCTTGTTGTTGGTGGCATGATCCATGTTCACCCCACCTTTTAGGATGTTGAATCCAGTTTGTCCGTAAATCACAACACAAGGGATTAGAACGTTAGAAATGTGAGAGAGAGAGAAACAGAGAGAGGAGTGCACATCAACTTGTCCCTCCAAGGTTCTAGTGATACTTTTTATATAATCAAATATTATTTATACACGAGGGAAGAGAGAACCCTAAGTAAAAGAAAAGGGTTCCTCTTACATGAAAAGATCCCATATTTATAAG